TGGAGTGTAGGTGTGCGGGGAGGAGCAGGAGAGTCTTGAATGGCCAGCTGAGTGATTTACACTTCACTGAGACGTAAAATTTTTAAGCATCAACAAAATATCGGCTAGCCATCAAGTTCATTTGGTTTTTTTCTGTACGATGGCTCTAGCAGCACTCGCTTGTCTTTAATGTCATTTGAAACAATTTTGTTAAGGTTTTGTTGTGACAGCTGTCGTATCAGCATGCATCCCAAAAAAACATCAAAATTGGCGAATTTTTGTGCAGCAATTTTTTTTAATATTAAAGATGAAAGAAAATACATCTTTTCAGCATATTAAGCTTTATTGTTTCAAGAAAGGTAAAAATGTAACTGAAATGCAAAAAAATGATTTGTGCGGTGTTTGGAGAAGGTGTTGTGACTGATCCAATGTGTCAAAAGTGGGCACATTGACATTTTGGTCCCATTGACATTTTGGCCAATTAATTCTTTCCTGTGGGGATGTCTTATGCATTGGAAGATATTTAGCAGCACCCTGGACACTCCCCACTAGAAGCCAATAGCAGGGGATAGCCAACACACTGAAAATATCCAAATCAATGAAGTTATTAGTGAAAATGAAAAATGTGGCTCTTATTTTATGGAAAAAACTAAACAGACTCTTTGGCCAACCCAATAATATTGAGAGGACTACTTTGGTCTCGTTGGGAAGGACAGACTGCAGAAGGAAGTGACACCAGAACTGCCAGGTCTCATGGTCAGCCTTCTTCTACGGGACAGCAAATCAGCATGTTCACCTTTGAGAACGGTATTTCAACCCAACAGCTAAAGCACCTTTTGCACAAGCCAAGCTACCACCTTTCATAGTCACCTGCCACTTGTTCCCCATCCCTGTGTTTTCCTCAAAAAGCTCTGAGAAACACATAATGCACAGCCCCGTGGTTATCATGCGGCTTATCTCTGTGGTGTGTGTCATGCACACACCATCCCTAGGCAGGCAATGCCCCGTTTTATCAGAGGTCTTGCTGTCTTATTTGCAACCATACTTCACGGGTGGCCAAAATTTCAGACACCCCAAGAAAAGCTCTAAAGACTGAAAGCAACGTCACAGCCTCCTGCTGTGGTTCACCACCTTCCCTGTGCTCAGTCCAACAACTAGTTGCCATGCTTTTCCACTGTGAGATTTCATTTTCAGTAATACACTTGGAGGAAACATCCTGGTAGGCGGTCACAGAACAGTCTCTATTAGAGAGTAGAAAAGAACTCCATTTGTCTGAAATGAGTTTGAGGCATCAGAAACAAACGGCTAATTACACGAGTGCCTGCGAATTCCAGAGCAATCACAGACCAGGAGAGGACTGCACCAGAGGGAGGGGCTGAAGCCAGAGATGAATGAATGCAGTTCCTTCCACTAGACCAGAGCCAGGCCATGGCATTAGGAGTGAAGCCAGGCTATGGCATTAGATGTGAAGGAGCCCTTTCAGCACATCACATGGACTATACTGGCACATACATCATAGCATCACAGGCAGTGTGCCACGTGCTCAGCTTTAATAGAAGGCTCCAGTGCAATAGCCAGCCACAGACTATCACTCCAGAATGTCCCGGCACTTGACCCCCAGGCTCTCAATATGCCAACCCTCAGTTATCCGGACTGCAGTTAACTGGAATTCTCCCTCCTGCGGTTACTGCTTTACGACTCCATGCCTTCAGAGAAACAGGAGACACAGCACAGACTTCTGCTGTTTTTGAGAAATTTTTAAAGGCTGAAAATAGACACTGCAGCTTATGCCACTAAAATGCTCTCTACATGGCCCGCTGCCACTGAAAAACACTGTGAGGGCATCTCTCCTCCTGGAAGTTCCCTGACACATCAGCCACCTCAGACTCAAGGCCACTGGGTCCTATATAAACAACATGACAAAGCTGCCACTGGGTGCTAAGGCAGCTCACAAAAAGCGGTTTAACCCACAATGTCCCCAAGCAGAAGGGAGCCCTCTGGAGCCGTATACTACCCAACAGGTCCATGATGGCGGGAAGGATAAATGGATCCTGGAGAGCTGTGATCTTTTAATAGATTTAAAATCATGAATAATTGGGGAAAAACAAGAAAAAAGCAAAACAATTTTTTACAAACATGGATAGCAGGTGGCAGCCACTCTTCAGTGCCTCCTCTCAAAGGGCCAAGAAAGGTGACCTTGGTGGGCACTCCAAGGTGCCCCCATTAGGCCCACCTCCAGTGTTCCCCTGAGTGTGCGTGGGCACTGGGACTTGCTTCTAATCAACAGAATATGACAGTGGGGTTGACATCTCTCCTGTGACTACGTTATGTCATGTGAGGCTGCATCTTGCTGGCTGACTCTCCTTGCCGGCTCAGCGAAGTCAGAGGCCATGCAGGTGGCCTCCAGGTCAGCCAGCAGGAGGCCAGGGCCCCAAGTCCTACAGCCACAGGAAATTGCACTTGGCCAATAACCTGAAGGAGCATGGAAGCAGGTTCTACCCCAGCCGAGCCTCCACATGAGAACCCAGCCCCAGTCAGCTCCTGAGAGCAGCCACAGGGAACTCAGGACAGCACCACTGCACCACGCTCTCACCAGAGAAACTGCGAGAAAACAGATGTGTATTGTCATGGCTGCTAAGTTTGAGGAGATGTATTATGACTAGGAGATAATGGGTCTGCATTCATTCTCTCTTTAATCCTTCAAGGTTTAAACTGCCTCTGCTTTGGTAGCTGAACTAATCTTTACTTCCCTCCTTCTGGAAGAATGGCATATATTAAATGGCTATTTTTTGTTTTTTAAAAATAGTGTGTCTACCTTGTGCCACTCTACTATACTGTCCCTGCTTTCAGGGTGCTCAGAAGCTGCACAGGAAGAGCCAAGCAACCATCCATCCCATCAGCAAATACTATCTCACATCCACCACATGCTGCCCCTACTAGGTGCTGAGGACACAGCAGGGAGTAGAACAGAGCTCCCTACCCTCGTGAAAGCAGAGACAACGTGATCAATCAAAGAGCACAAACAGGTATGGCAGAGACCTCAAAGCCTCCAAGAGATGCACCATCTCTGTCACCATGTGACACCTGGTTTGCATGTTTTCACCCAAGAAGGACGACATCAGGGTGGTGTCCAGTAGATTGTGGCTTCCTCTGATTTAGCCTCAGCTCAGGACCTGTGCCCAAGTACCTAAGAACTGTCAAGGGATTCACCACACATTTTGTCCCAGCACTGTCCACCCGAGAAACAAACAGCCTGCCTTCGGCCTTTCACTCAGGCGTGAACACTTGCCCCTGCCATGCCCTGTATTAGGGAACAGAGGAAGAGGTTCTACAATGGGCTGTTAAAACAGCAGAGACACATGTGACTAACTGCAGCAAGAGGAAGAAGAATGCAGAATGAGCTCACCCTGATTTAAGCACTGTTACTAAATAACTTCCGAGAAGGAAAAGGAAAAAAGTATCTGAGGCTTACACTAGCTTCTGGCACTCCACAGAATACCCCGCTCCGCAATGCATGCTGGCAAGGATTGAATTTTACCATCTTTGTAGAAGTGTACCTAGTATTTACAAGGTTGCTTCTGACATTTACAAGGGTGCAACAGCCTCAAAAATAAGGTGCTTACTTATAGCCCTAACCCTCCCCGCCCCACCTGGGAACTGGGAGCTCTGGGAGCCCCTCCTCCTTCCTTCTATTCAAGGCAGCTGCTTGGAGATGCTGACATGTGGCAAAGAGTAATGACTAGATCCCCGCAAAGTCCCTCTGATGAAAGAGTCCATGTGGGCTCCTGTTCCCGGATTATGTGAGCACTAACATAGCTACGCACTTGGAATTAAGACTATAGATGGCCCTGAGGAAAGTAAGAATGTGAGAGGAGGATAAAAGGCAGGTAACATTCTTTATACAAACACACATACACACACACCCCTGAAAAATACAACCTCCATTTTTTGTGATGAATAAAATAGTGATAATAATGGAGTGTCTATGTGGCAAACCTGTTTTTTTTAATTAAATTGAATAATAACAAACAAAAGCTTTCACGTATTTCAAGAGCAGAACCCTTTTTTCCCTCACTGTGTCCCGTGCCAAACCCAAATACAAGAGTCTGATAAACTGGAGCTACTCTTACTGTAAGAGAGATGCGGGGCTGCTGTTTTAACAGCCCACTAGCTAGCCTCGTCTTCCCCAACCCCACCACCCCGCCTGGCTCCTGTGACCCACATGACACACTCTGATCATTATAGCACCTACACCGCAGAACAAGCTACAGAAGACTGCTTAAGTAAAAGAGTGAAAAATAGAAGAGGGAGAGGAATGGGGACAAGAGGAAAAATTTAAGACTAGGAAAGAAATCAGGGCTTGCCCTTGACTTTGAGAAATGCAAAGTCCCCCAGAGTCCAAGGCAGAAATGCAGCCCAACGCATCACTGGCACGCTGTGCACACCACCATGGAGCAGCCAGCAGCCAGCACGCAGGGCACAGGCCCCCTCCATATGCTGCTGACCACATGGTACATGCAGGCACTGTGGACCAGGCCTTTGTGCAGAAGGCCTTACCATCTGTAGGTATTAAAGAGTTCTGCTTCAAGGAAATATAGGAACTTAAGAAACCCACCACCGTGAAAAGGCAACCCTGTTTTCTGATGAGATGGAAATGCTAGATGATTCTTTATTTTTTTAAATTTTATTTATTGACTTGAAAGAGAAAGAGACTGATTTGTTGTTCCACTTACTTATACACTCATTGGTTGATTCCTGTATGTGCCCTGACCAGGGACTGAACCCACAACCTTTGTGTATTGGGACAATACTCTAACCAACTGAGCTACCTGGCCAGGGCCACAAGTGCTAAATGATTCTGAAAAAGCACAGCAGCCATAAATTTTAAAAGGTCAACAACCAAGGGTTTTAGTTGACAGTTCGCTTAAAAAGTCAACAACTGACTAAAGGTCTAAGTGAATAATACATTCTAGCACAAACGTGATGACCTTACTACTCAGTTGCTGATGGGCAGACTATACCTGGAATATGATGCAAGGACTTGTCACCTTGTCCCCCAACAATCGCCTGGGTCTTGGAGTGAAGACGTCTCAGGAGGGATAAGCTGGGGGTTTCAGGCTCCTGAGAAGCAAAGAAGAGACATCAGACACAATATATTTTGGCCCCAGAATCTCCATGCTTGTGGCTGTTACAAGAAGAATGACTCCACCTGGCTCAGCACCAGGAAGGACATCCCAGCTATAATACCAGTGGAGGATCAGATGAAAGCTGGGAGGCAAAGGTCATGCCACAGGGGCTGAGTAGATACGGGGTGACATCACGGAGGGGCATCAGCAAGGGAATTCAGAAAAAGACAGGAAACAGGATGAGATGGCCTCAGACCCAGAGATCCTACCCCATCACCTCTACAAATAGAAGATCGAATTTCAAATAAGGATGCTATCGTCCCACTCACAAGCAGTTTCCACAAATCTAGGGCATAGAGGTGGGTATGCAAGAGCCGGAGGCCCTTGCTAGGGACCAGGAAGGGGAGCAAACCCTTTCCTGACACTGACATTGAGAACTGAGGTCAGCAGGGGCAGAAAGCCTTAGCCGGTTCCTTCAGGGAACAGTTGCACTCTAATCTGTACAGTCAACCATTTCATGAGGGAGCCTCCCGTACCAGCTGACACATGGGCACTGAGCAGGCACCCAGGCGGGCCGACTGCAGTCAATGTAGGATGTGCACTGTTGATATGCCTGGTGGAATGGCCTGCAGTCCCACAAGGAACGGGGACCAGTCTGAATGCAGAGAGGTCACACTTCCCTGAGGGCATGCCAGGAAGGACCTCCCAGTGGCACAGAAAGTCCTTTGCTTTCTCAATCTTATCATTTCTACTTTGCACGTACGCACTCACCCAAGAGCTGGGGAGGTTTAATTAGGCTTCCTGAATATGATTTGTAACTAATGTGAACCCACAGAGGATCGTCGCTATGCCAAAAATACAATGAAAATGCAATCAATGGCTAGTTTTACCTCTTCAACAATGGGAATCTTATTCCAGCCTACATCATCCATGCATTCATTCCATGTTAATATTTCATTCTTTTCCACTTTCTTTTTTGAAAATGTCTAAACCTACATAACAGTTAAATAAACATTTACCTACTCTTCATCTACATTTACCAATATTTGACACTTCTCCATGTTTGCTTTATCTTTATAGAAATATACCCTTTTTTCATGGATCATCTGCTAGTAAGCTATAATAGCTACCAAGATACTTGACCTCTAAGTATTTTGGTAAATCCCAAGGGAGACACTGTCCTGCATAACTGTGGCATCATTATCACAGCAAAGAAATGCAACATTCATTCAGATATAGCCCATAATCAAACCTCCAAAATCATCAATATTTTGCTATTTCTTGATTCACTATCATATGCCAAGTACCACATATGCCAAGGGCACTGAGAAAAACAAGGATGAATAAGGCTCTAGTTCACTGTCCAACAAAGGAGACTGACCTACTGTGACCTACTTGTGACCTACTCACACACTCTGTACTGTGAGGCAGGTGTGTAGGTGCTGATTCGTGTTTGAGGCTTTGACTTGCTAGAAGGGAAAGGAGTTAGCTCCACTTAGAGCCTTCTGGAAAGGCTTATGCAATGACGTGCTGTTTAGAGAGGACATGTTTACCCAGCATATTGGGGGGCAGGGAGCTAAATGTAAAACTGTAGAGGCTTGAGTGTGACCATGAGAATAACGCCCCAAACCCCAATGCCAAAACCCAATTCTAGAAACCTGTGACTACAGTAGGCTCCATGACAAGGGGGAATAAAGGTTGCAAAAAAACAAAGGTGCTTATCAGCTGACCTTGAGATGTGGAGATTTTCCTGGATGGGTCTCATGTAATCACTAGGGGTCCTTAAAAGATGGAAGAGGGAGTGGGACAGTCAGTGTCCCAGGTATGCAATGTGAGACAGACTCCATCAGCCATTGTCAGGGGACCAGAAGCCAAGGAAAGCCGGCCACCCCTGGAAGCTGGCAGAGACAGGGAACTAGATTCTCTCTCGAGGGCCATAAAGAAACTCATCCTTGCCAACACCTTGATTGGAGCCCAGTGAGACCTATTTCAGACTTCTGACCTCTAGAACTGTAAGGTAATAAATCTGCATTGTTTTAAACACCTTAAAAAAATGTAGGAACAAGTCTGGAAACTGTCAAAGAGCTGGGGGTAGAGATGAAGTCATTGAAGTCCTTGTGTCCAAGCCAAGAAAACTGCACTTTTATCCTTGGGGACAGTGAAGGACAGGCAGGAGCCACGACTGGACCTGTACCTTAGGAAGAAAACTTGGGGAGTAAAAGCAGCAGAACCAAGAAGGCAAACAACTGGTAGTCTTTGCTGTCAATGATAAAATTAGAGCTTTTAAGCAAACAAAACAAACAAAAAAACGCCACAAAAAACAGAACTTTGGAAAACTTGCATCTATCACCATGACCTCTCATGTCATTGGTCGTGATATTAACAATAGTGATTTTTAGAAAAATATTACATGATGAAATGCGTCAACTTGTCAGATGTGCATAACTCAGCTAGGATAGTAATGCAGTAAAACAGATCATACCTGGGTGACAGACTGACTCAAAAGGTAGAACAGATCCGTGTAGTTTTGATGTAGTTTCAGACTCTGCAGAAGAACCCACCACCACCTGAGTTTTCATGTAGTATCAAAAAAGAATATCCACGATTATCTGGAAAGGCTTCTAAAGTACTCCTCCCTTTCAGTGACATCCCCAAGGCCATCTTTTCTTTATACACTACAACTAAAACAAGACATCAAAACTGACTGAGGCACCCTGACTGGGTAGCTCAGCAGGTTAGAATGTCATCCCAATACGCCAAAATTGTGGTTCAATCCTTGGTCAGGGCACATACAAGAATCAATGAATGAATGAATGAATGAATGAATAAGTAAAACAACACATTAATGTTTCTCTCTCCCCCTCTCCCTCCCTCTCTTCCCCCCTTCCTCTCTCTCTCTAAAATCAATAAAATACAATAAAAACTGATGCACAAGCAGACATAAGAATCCAGTTGCCTTCTATTAAGCTAAACATTAAAGAGAATTGCAAATATGTAAGACAGTAACACTCCTATTAAATTTTTTTCTTTTAAAAAGTTATTTTCATTAAAATGTTATTGTGTTAACATAAAATGGTTTGTTGATGTTATTTTTAAGTGGATTAATACATAAATATTGTAATGTAATTAATATTGATACATACAACCCACTTCAGCCAAAGCTCTGGGTAAGCCTCAATAGACTAAGAACATGAGGGGGTCCTGAGACCAAACAATTTGAGAACCGCTGCTTGTCTGGGCTGCCCAGTGACGTGAGCACAACCAAAACCTAACCCTCACTTAGTCAGAAAAGCAACTGCCAGCTTCTCCAGGCTCGAGGATGACAGTGATTCCTGATCTGTTTGCACTGTCCTATTAGAAGTAATTCACGCTCAACTTACGAGTCTTAAAGAAAGAAAGGCTGTACATTCATCTGGGGTGAACTCATCGGGATTACTGGGGCCAAATGCCTGGCAATCAATTCATTAGCACTGCTTTTCTTTAACCCAACAATGTTCCAACCAAGTAATTCCATTTTTTCAGATCTGAAAATTAACTTGCTAAAAACAGAGTAAAGAAAATGCTGCATAGATGGAACTGGAGAGCATTATGCTAAGTGAAATAAGCCAGGCGGTGAGAAAGACAAATACCATATGATCTCACCTGTAAGTGGAACGTAATCAGCAAAGCAAGCAGGCAAGGAACATATGACTGGCAACATTGAAAGAAAGAAGAAACCGATGGGGACGGGAGGGAGGGCGGGAGGGGGGTAGCAGGGAAAGGAAGGGGAAGGGTCAGATCAAGGGACAGGTGTGAAGGACACATGGACGAAGCCAAGGTGGGGGAGGATTGAGGGGGGGAGGTGGTGGTGGGTGGGGCAGGGGAAAGTGGTGAGGGTAAATGGAGACAAATGTATTTGAAAAATTTTTTAAAAAAAGAAAAGAAATAAAAAAACAAAGGAAGAAAATGCTGCATACGCCGCATGCCTAAAGAACTCAATGCCATTTATCTTATAAATGCTGCGAACAGTATTCCAATACCACCTGTGATGGGTTTCCAAGAGCACACAGGAGCCATTGAGGTGTTGCCATGACACCATGTGACACTGTCACACTGATGAGAGAAATGTACATAAAATGACCTAAAAACATCTGCAAATGTTACTTCTACTGAACAATTTACAAATCAAAAGTAATCAGATATGTCCATTCCGTACATTCCATTAAGCAAAAAGAATTTTTTTAAATTTTATTAAACATAATGCCCAATGTTTTGGCAACTTAAATAGGTGCTTCGCCCATGAATGAGTTTTTGTACTGTCCTTCATTCCACAAGTAACCAGGAACACAGCAGTGAACTAACTAGGCCAAAATACCTGTCTTGACAGAGTTTAAATTCTATTACTGGGAACATCTCTTCAAAAAATAAGAATGGATGAAACATTAAGTAGGAGCAGCACACTTTTGATCCCCTAACACAATTCCATTAATAATTAGAAATAAGCTCTAGGGACATCCCATGAGAGAGTCAGATATCAGGGTTACTGTCAGGAATGAAGCTGCAAGAGGAAGCACACACTGTTCACGGCAGTCAGGGGCGGCTCTTAAGACCGCGGACTCCAAACAAGAACGGTGCTAAGAACAGAGCTCCTTGGGGATGGCCAAGTTCCTACAGCCAAAGGGATAGGCAGGGTGTCAGAATTCTGGAAGGAGGGCATTTGTAGTTTGAAAAAACAAACCATAATTAATTTTTTTCTCTGGCATAAACAGTTTTGGAATTTCAACCTGAGCCTGTTCGTTAAAAGGGACCATGGACTGAGGCTGGAAAGGACTCTGAAAGAGTTACTAGCCTTCCTGTTCAAGGAAAGAGACAGACGACAGCGTCAAGACCTGAAGTGCAGAACAGAGCCCACAATGTCCCCAGAACCAGCAGGCCTCCAGGCACCACCAAAGGATCCAGAACTGTCCTGACACTCACACTTTCTTCCCCTCTCTTTATGAACCTGCAATATGGGCG